CGCACTCTCTGCAACTGCCCGACAGGACGTTGTGGAGAGGTTGGGGCTGGGCTCTTCTCACGGGGAAGGAGCGATAGAACCAGAGGGAAGGGCTGCAAACTGCACCAGGGCAGGGTGACACTGGGAAAAACTGGGAAAAACTTTTGCAGAAAGAGTGGTCAGACCTTGGCACAGGCTGCCCAGGGAGGAGGGTGAGTCCCCATCCCTGGAGGTGTTTAAAGGCCGTTGAGATGTGGGGTTGGGGAGATGAGTTAGGAGTGAGCTTTGCAGAGTGGGGTGAATGGTTGGACTCGATGATCCCAGGGGGCTTTTCCAACCTGAATGATTCTATGATTCTAAAGAGCCCTGACTTAGCCAATAATAAGTCCTGCACAAGGTGGGTGTCAGGGCAGGGCGAGGACAGACAGTCGACGCCAGGGCATCGCCGCTTCCCCTCCCCTTTGTAACTCCAGATTTCCCTCGTTTCTCACGGCGCGACGTGGGAGAAAACTTAAGCTGGAAGATGCTGGAAGAGCCCAGGAGTTTAAATAAGAAGGCCTGGTCGCCGGGCTGTGACTCTGGTGCCAGTTCTTTGTGATGCTGCCGAGGGCTCTTCTCTGCTCAGGCAACATTGGAGAACGCTGGACCCGGTGATGAACTCGGATTTCGATTGTGCTGTGCCCATCGCTCAGAGTTACAATTAATTTTTTTGCTGGTTTTAGACAAGATCAGGCTAGCCTGCTATTTCCTCAGGGCTGGGTTACTGCTGGCACTCAGGTGCGTTTGCAATTAGACCGAGGCGAGTTTCTCTGCTCTGATATGGGCTAATTATTGAAACACTGGCCGTAATTAACACTGCAGTAACCTGTGCTGCAGCAAATCCTGTGCTAATGATTCAAAGTTGTCCTGTCGACTGTCATTCAGGGTTATTTTCTAAATCAAAAGAAGGAACTTTACTATTGCAGGCTGATCTGTGAGCCCAAAGCCCTGGCATGGTCCCACCTCTGCGTCCTGGTTTGCCGTCGTGTTCCTGTCAAATATCCCCCAGGACCCCACTAATTTTAAGTGTCTGTGCAAAAAGTTAAGTGAGATCCAGGTCAAAGAGCCTGAACGGCAGCTTTAAAATGTTCTCTTTTTTTTTAATGCAGAACAACATTTAAAGAATTTGCGGAGAAATATGGAAGAGATCAGCGGTTTCGCCTCGTTCAGAAGAAGAAGGACCAAGAGCATTTCTTCAATCAGTTCATACTTATTCTTAAAAAGAGGGACAAAGAAAACCGGATAAGGCTACGGAAAATGAGATAAAGACTCTGAAGCTGGCAATAAATACCCAAGTCCCTGCTGTGACTGCAGTAAGAAATTCAAATGAAGGCTGAAGCATTCGGGGTTAAACTTGCAACAGCTCACCGAGGACGTGGATATCCCTGAGAGAAACTTTCTCTAAACGGAGTTTCTTGGACATCTATTGAATTTGTGAAGGTTGTTCTGCAAGAATCTGAAGGATATTTTGTTCTCGAAGAATTAATGTTTCATATTGAAGCTCTCTTTTGTACAACATCCAGAGATTGATGCATTTCTAATTGCCATGATATGTCAATCCCTTAATTGTTTTAATTATGCAAATCACTTGTAATATACACAAATTATGAATCCAGTGCAGATTTGTAATTAAGCAGAAGCAGATGCCATCCGTAACAATCTCAAGATATTCTCATCATTTAGGGGAATTATCTAAAGCAACCTTTCGGCAACTTTATGCGTTAACATAAAGTGTTTGGGGGTACGGTGGTGTGCAGGAGCTCACGTCCCGCTGTTCATACGTCTCCGTCCAGTTCTCTGAGTAGTAGTAATAAGGTATTAATTGTTAATCTTGGTGAAGAGTGTGAAAATCTTGGCATAATGTTCCGTAGGAAAACTCCGCGTTTCAGAAATAGCTTCTTCCTCATCACCGTGACTGGTGCTCTCAGGCGATCGCGACACTTCTCTCCGTCCCCGCTTCCCCATGGGAGTTATTTCGTACGAATCACCGCCAGTCTGATTTGGATCATGTTGCCGTATGTGAAAAGTCTGCATGAGATTTTTCTCATCCTATTTGTATAAATAAATATTTAACTTTTTTAATTAATAAATATTTTAAGCCAAGTTTCAGGAGGAGGTTGAAATTTTTAAACCTTTTTTTTTGAAGCGTCGGGTTTAACAATGTAACTCTTGGGGTTTTTCCCAGAGGGATTTCCCACCATGTGTGATTCGTAGCCAGTTCCACAGATCTCAGGTGGGTTTCTGAGCACGCTGAGAGCAAAATAGTCGCTCTGACTCCGAAGGAAGGATCTCACAGCTGGAGGAAATCAGCGCAGCTCTGCTGAACGTCCTTTATGCTGCAGGAAAGACACGCTCGTCTCTGCCTGTGGTTATAATAATTATCTCAGCCCACCTTATTTTTCAGTTATTCCTCATTAGATTTATAGATTTCCCTTTGCTAGAATGATATTTTCTCCAACTAATGTTATTTTTTCTTTAGATGTGTGCTGAATATTTTTTAAAATGGAGGAAATAAAGGGTGTTTTCTTTGGAAAAATGAACTCAGAATAATTCGGAGAAGAGCATTTTACATGAGATGCATTTTAGCATGGATGTAGAGTTTCAGACTTCCACATGAAAAAAAATCTCATTTATTTTTCTGAGAGCAAGACCTGACCGGAGCTGCTGGTGATGTGAGTGGGGAAACGTGTCGCTGCGTTGGAATTTCCAGGTTAAGAGATGCTGCCGGATTTTCTCACCTCTCCAAGTGAGGGTTATACCAGGACCCAGGGAGTTGAAGGATGAGCTGATAGACGCAATTTTGTTTTTATAGGGCTTGCAAGACTTGTGATAGCCATTCACAGCTTTATTTAATGATTATTTTTACATCACTAAGAGCCTGGTTTGTTCCTGCCCCGGACTGAGTCGAGACAAACACTCTTGCCGAGGGTGAGGGGCAGGATGAGGCAGCAGAGGCCCACAAAAAAGATGTTGTTCTTTCAGTAGACCCAAAGACAGACTTCACAGGAGGGTTTTTCATAAGGTTTTGCAAACTTTACTGTTTAAAAAAAAAAACAAAAAACGAGTAAAATGCTGAAAAGCAATGAGGTCTGGGTTTTATGACTGAAAACTCTTCTGTATCAGTGCCCCTCGTGGTGTTTTCTGGTTTAAGTGCCTACACTGCCATCCCCTATTTCAGATATGGATAAAATGGGGTGTTAGTATTTTGAGGATTCTCCTTGGTTTTAGCATTTCCTGGCAGTGTCAGAAATTGTGGTCAAAATGTAGTGAATGGATAATTTGCTTAATGTTCTTGGGAAGTTCTGTGAAACACCAGAAGTGATCAGTGCCCCGGCTGCTAGAAAGCCTCCATGTTCAGCTCTGTTTTCTTGTATTTAAAATGGAAGAATAAACACAACTAGCCTCATGATTCAACAGAAAGAAATGCGTATATTGAAGCACATTATGGTTCAAAATGCTGGTAGTCCCCGAGGTGAAATATTTTCAGAGAAGTGCTTTGAGTTTTAGAAGCATATGACCTCCTCCCCAAATAATATTTTTTTGGCCTATTCGTTTTACCATACTCTTAACAAGTCCTAACAAGCCTCTTTGCGTACCTCAAGTTAAAATATTCTCTTTTCTTGTTATTAATTCATTTTTTAAAATGGACTTAGGGAACTAAACAGCTTTAGTGTATCCTGCATATAATGCAAAAAGCTCCAAGGAGTCGAGGGGAACCGTTACGTCCCCTTTATCTATATGCTGCTTTCACCATGCTTCAAAATTATCAAAATACATGTATTGTGAATATAAATGAATCAGCATTCATGTCTAATGTGGAGGAGGAAAACTTTCTATCACAGCTTTTTAGTACGGTCTGAGGTGAGCGTGGGTGCTTTTTTGCTTTACCACATTGTCCTTTGGATTGGTACAATACATAGCACATAAAAGCCCTTATTCTAATTCTAATTATTACTGTTTGTAATCCTATTGCTCTATAAAATCTAACTACTCTACAGTCAGAAAGGCCTTGAAGGTTGGGTCCAAAGCTCATCTCTAGGTCTATCCAGTTGTCCTGCAGAGGGTCACAAACCTGTCACCATCACCCATTAACAGCAGATAGTGGGTGCCAGAAAATCGTGGGTTGTCAACCCTGGACTTGCACAGCTGCGGAGTCACGGCTGTGGTTGTTCATCATCTCAGGACTCAATTTCTGCAGAATTAGTTCTTTCTTTCCTGCAGTACACCTACTTTTTATATGCTGGGATGCACACTTCAGAGTGTCTTAGCCAAGATACAGCAAGGACAGACAACCAGCCCCGCCAGTCCTTGCGGCATCGGCAGGACCTCGTCGAACATCATCGTGAGCGGAGCTCAGCTGTGCCCCTAGAGAACACCAAGGAGGAGAAGAGGGGCTCATGAGGGAGGAGACTAAAAAAACCTGAACCCCTAAAAGCCTCAGAGTTTGTTTGGCCAGTGCAGTTAAGCCTAGAAGGGTAGATGGTTATTTCTCACGAGCAGCCTGGGAGCGAGGAGCACAGCGGGAGGTGATGTTTCCCAAACCCGAACAACTCCGCAAAAACAAATCAGAGTAAGCTGATTTGCATGAGTTAGGAGTTAATTTTCAAGGCTCTCTTTTTACCTTCTAAAATGAGGGTACTCTTCCTTTTGTCTGGGTAACCAAGAGGAAAATCTAATTATTCCTAACTTGAGTAACTCATTGAATTTTTTTCTAGGGTGGTTTCAAGAGCGTAGCACTCTGGGTGGATTTCGACTGGATTGTTCAAATTATTGTTACAAATGGTGTTCATCTTCAGCTCTCCAGGAATCCCATATTTCCTAATACCTTAAAACAAGTGCTATCCATCTTTTAAGTCCTGGACTCACCAGGATCACTTGACATGGGTGGATTGACGAGGAGGACTCATTTATTTTGTTATTATTAGATTAGACATCAGAAAAAAGTTCTTTGCTGTAAGAGTGGTGAAATATAGGTTTCCCAGAGAGGTGGCGGAGGCTCCATACCTGGAGAGATTTGAGGACAGGCTTGATGGGGCTCGGAGCACCCTGATCTAGGGGAGGGTGTCCCTGCTCACTGCAGGGGCTTGGACTAGATGGTCTTTAAAGGTCCCTTCCAGCCCAACACATTCCATGATTCTGTGGTTCTTTGCTTTATCCCAGGTCACTGCCCTGATGCAGGGGTGAGAGACTAATGAGGGTCATGCTCCCTCCAACCCAACACCATTTTTCCAACTCCAGTCTATTTACAACAGCTCAATCACCTCCAAGCCCCTCTACCAGAGCTTCTCCAACTCACACATGGACAATTCTTGACCCTACTAGCAAGAAGCATTCAAACACCTCACCCAGCCTCTCACAGCTGCGTCCATCTGTTAAAGTGGAGGGAGGAACCTGATCCCCTGAAGGTTCCCACTACGTCTCAGCTGTGGGCTCAGGTGAATCCAACCTGCCCTGCCCTGCTCCCAGCCTAGCCAGGAGCCACCTGGGCCAGGGCTGGCCAAGAGGAGACAACCTGGGGGGTCTTGCTGTGCCCATTTCTCCTGAGCCTGTGATGAGCAGTGATGGGCTGGCTGTAGAAAGCAGAAAAAGGTGAAATAGTGGATTTTTGAAAGTGAAAAAAAGGGGGTAGAGAGTGTGTTTGAGAGGCTTTCCTTTTTCTTTTTTTTCTTTTTTTGGTAAAGTTAGGAAATAAAAATTCTAGAATGACCCTAGGTTGTCCTAAAGGAGCCAATAAAACTGTGCAACAGCCTTGAATTTGTTATTTCTATAGGGGAAAAAAAAAAAAAAGGAAAAATAACTAAACCAGAATCTTCAACAAGATTTTTAATAAATGTAGTCTTTCTTTGTCATAAGAAGAAGAAAGCTTTTACGATGTTCTAAAATACGAAGAAAATGAAATGCAATGAACTGCAGAGCCCAAGCCTGCCATAGCAGCAAGGGACAGAACTAAAAATGAGTTTGGGAACGTGGGCAGCGAGGCTGAGCTAACACACCTGCAGAACGAAGCCGCTGCTGTCGGGGAAACTCGGCATATTGGATTTCTTAGGACCAGAAATTCTTTCATCAAAAAGAAAAGATTTTGATCCCGTAGCATTTATTCAACATGACTGTATTTCAGTAAACCAGATCCTGGTCTGCTTTCTGGAAAGAGTTATGGAAATTAAACTTGGGATATTGTTTTGGGGGCAGGGAAAAATCCAACAACAAAACAACTCTACCCTGGTCCCTTAAGCCATTGGCTGTGGGCAGGAGCCCCAGCTGGGTGT